GCGGGCTCCCTCCCTAAGTGAAAATTCCCTTAGTCAGTTGCGGAAATAGAAGGAAACCTGTTCGTATGCATCAGGGTGTCGGCTCTTGCAATCCGTGTGCTGGCTTGTTTTCAATACGGCCCCTCTTTCCCTTACGTGTTTCCAATACCAATCCTAGTCCAGCTTTCTCCTTCATTTTATTTTTTTTCTTTCTGTCAATCTAGAAGAACTGACCATTTGTATACCAAATATAGAATGATTAGGAATAATATACCAAAAAAAAAAAAAAACGAAATCTTAATACCAAAAAAGAACAGAACAATTGGTTATCTTTCTTTCTAATCCCTATCTCATTTTATGATTCGTTCTTTGTCTTTTCCATCAGATTACAGCCAGTATATTCATAAGCTCATTCTTTATTGAAATCTATTAAACATTTATATGCTGCAAATTTTCGTTTTCCTCGCCACAAAGAGAAAAAGTAAATTTTTCGTGTCTGTCTTCTCCCTGCTTGCTGTATAGCTCCAGTGATTATCTGTACTACAAAAAATAAAAAAACACTGTTCGTACACAAAAATATTATCAACTTAATTTTTCATATTGACTTATATACATTATAAGTAAATGAATGGACCCGAAGATAGCAACTCACTAATAAAAACAAGGTCTTCAATACGTAAGATTGAAAAGTTAAGGAGATTAAAAAGGACCTATATCTAAGTATTAGTTTAGTTTACGTTTTCGAAAAATTTAGGTAGTTACTCCATTATTCCTAATTTAATTCTAATTTCTGAAGCACAGATAGCACAAAAACTGACCTCCAAATATGGAAACTTTGACAATGAAACATAAAAATGGATTCCAGTGTGCTGAGGATTCGTTGTGTTCATGTGTGTTCCACATAGAACGTAAATTCTTACATTATAACACGCTCTCATATAACGTTAATTCGTAATACGTTAGAAGTTTTTAAGTACTGTAAGTTCCTTCAGCAAAAAGAGATGCCAGAAGCATGACCTAAGATTACGTCTTAGTTTCCTTGACCAACACTTGTTAGTTAAAAAATATTAAACATTAAATATGTAAGTGAATTATCCGTAAATATTTATAATAATGATTTGTAATTTTTATAAAATCGCAAATGCTGACATGTAACTGCCCCATTCAATGAAATACATCATGGTAAGTGTAAGGAAGAGGCATATTGATTCTCATCAGATATTTATGTATTGTATTTTAACTTTTTTTTTTTTAATATAACTTGCTTTCCTAAAGTCTGTTTTTATTTCGCTTTATCACAAACCTTTAAATGATAAAAAGTTTATTAACCAGCCTTTCCGCAATATAGTAGTGTTTGAAGTAGACTTGCTGCTGTGAGCTTTCACAAAATCCTTCCTTATAACCTATTCGACAGAATTTCCAACTTCATTGAACATCCTACACATTCTAAACAATTTTTATTTTTTTATATTTTACCATAACAGAATATTAAAGAATAGTAAAAACATTGGTCATGACATACTTATAATTGAGAAAGTTCATACTTCAAGTTGTTAAATATTATTACATTGAAAATAAGAGTATAAAAATAAAACAGCCGGAAATGAGGATGGTCGTCTGTTAAATGGACCTGAAGAGCGTGCGAGATTCAAATTTTAAAATTTGATATTCTCAGACGCATTTCGGATGACTCTCCATTTTTTTTTCTCTGTGGACTACTCATTTGTCTACGATTGAAGGGGCCTAAGTTGGATAAATTCGACATGTTATTTGTAAGAAAGCATAATTTATTTATTGTTGCTATGCCAAGAACTTCAACTAGTTATTTTATTAATATTTTCAAAATTAATTCATTCAGTCTTAAAAGGATAAGAATAGTTTTTTGATAAAGAATCAGAGGGCGTGTCTCTTCAGTAAAAGAGTTTTTTTTTTCGTTGTTGTTTTTTTCAGTATGATTAAGTTTTTGGTTTACTTTACGCTGAAATAATACAAATATTTTCGGGAAATTATAGTTTTTTTTTTTTTTTAAAGTATGATTAAGTTTTTGGTTTACTTTAGGCTGAAATAATAAAATTATTTTCGTAAGACTATAATATTTTTTTTAATTTTTCAAAAATAACAGAGAAACAGGCTCCTCGCTCATGACAGAAGTAAAGCGTTGAAATAGCTCAGTGCAGTAGTCTACAACCCTTAAGAGTCTCTGGAGTAGAAGTTTTCAGTTGAGCTTCTTAGGCAGTTCCCAATCCGGAGTCCATTCGTAAATCTGCAACTAGCGGACGATTCCTCAGAAGTCTTTTAACATCCTTCTTTCCAACTCTGGGACTTCTCCTTTAAAACGTCGGCATAAAAACAACCTCCTCTCCTCAAACTTAGAAGTCTTAAGTTTTATTCGGATAAATCTTTATAAAATGATTTTTCAATTATTAAAATATTTTTTTTAATCAATCGCTTATTCAAGAAGTTGCTGTATTTAATGTTATTATGAATAACAATTGAATACTTAAATTTTTGTTCGTCGGTGACGAAGAGGTTTTACCAATAAAAAAACAAAAATTCCACAATTTTCATATTGCATAACTACAAAGGTAATTAGCGTTAAAGAACAGTGGTGGGAACAGAGCTACGCCACGATATTAAAAACATCGACTCCTACGTCAGAGGCTGCGAGCGTCTACCTTGTACAGTTGGATATCTTTTAGCACAGAATAGTATTTCCAGCTTCAAAAGTGCCATCCCAGAAACGTCTTTCCGTTTTATCTTGCCCTATCATCTCTGAATGAAAATATTTAGTCAAAATGTATGTTATTACCTTTTGCAATCTCAATCTTATATTTAAGATGTTACTTGTAGTGTTGAGACATCAATACTAAAAATTCAATTTTCAATTGTTTGATGCTCAAACTTCAAAAATTAGTTTTGAGTATTATTGAATACTGAAATACTGACATTAATGTCACTGATATATTGATGTTGATTTACCTTAAGTACCGACGGTTCAAACATTGGATAGGAGGAAAATAATGCATTTATGAAATGTGAAAAGGAATAATCAGTAAATCCAGAGATGGCAGAATAACAGGAAAAAATATTTGGTATAGAATGTGTTTTTCAAGTAAATGGATTCAAAAGAGCAGACACAATTTATTCTCTATTTCTAATTTCATCATTACTTGCTTTAAACAAATAATAAATTCAACACCACAAATATCTCATGGATATTTTTCTTATGTTAGTGTAGGGATTCAATAGCTTGCCATATGTCTTCCTTACTTCCTTTTCATAACTTCTTCATTTGTTTTCAAATGCTAATTAAATAAACGGGATATTGCAATATTTTTTTTTTCTACAAATACCAACATCAGAATAGTCAAATCACAGCCTTTACTTCTCAACAATTTTTTTTCCTATTGTCTCTAGAGAATGTCAAGTCCTCGTCCTCACAAGACACTAAGACATGCCCTTTCCCAGTTCAAAAGCACTTAACATTCTTCACTAAATCCAGTAGATTTGAGTATATACTAAAAATGCTATCATTAAATATTTATTACCAAATTCTCATCAGCAATAAAACAACAGGGGGAAAAATACACTGCTCTATAACATTTAAAGGGTGTAAACTATGCATATAAAAAAATAGAGGGTTTATTACTAAAAGGATGGTTGGTGGTATATGAATAAGTATTACAAATGTCAAAGCCACTAATTATCTATTATTTCTATCTCTACATTTTTATTTAGCCTAAAAAACTATTTCTACTTAATGTAATATAGAGTTGGTTTATTTTTTGGAATTTTATGATAGTTTAAACTATTTAAATGTTTGTTATTTTTTCAACTCAGGATTTTTGAAAGGTATCTAAAGAGATCCATTAGATCCCAGAAGTATCAATATTATACAGGATTTTTAAAAAATAAAATAAACAACTAAAGCTCTAATATAAGCCAAATTATATTATCAAAACAACTGCTTCACTATAATTCTGAGCAGATATTTTTCATTTATACAAGTATATCAATTATAAATAATTGAAATTTCGATTAAATTAAAATTATAAATTTATATCAGCATAAAGTAACATATATTGTGAAACTATATATTTATCTACTCCTTGAAAGTGAACCGTGACCTAATGTTCATCATTCAGAACACAATGAATGTCCTGGATTTTAGTCTAAATTATTCATATGTGCTGTAGAACAAGATTTGATCACATCGCAAACTTTATCGTCTGATTTTATAAGAACTCATTCAATGTGTAGTAAAATTAGCTATTGAAAGCATGAGTCAAAGTTTGGCAGCCAATAGATAAAAGTAGAAACAGCATGGTGTACAATATCTCAATGCAGAATGAAAGCATGACTTGGAACAGGTTAAAAGCAAACTATTATCAATATCATTTGAGAGTATTAATAATGTGTCTCTATTAAAAACCTGGAACTGATTTTTTTTTCTTTCCAGAATGGAGATGTGGACTAACCTCCTCAACTGCAGATAGTAAAACATCTCATATGTGATTTATGTGATAATCCGTATTGTGATCTAGAGATTACCTCTGTTATCTAACCAAGGTGAGCAGTTAAAAATTTGTTTCATGAGGCGGTCGCATAATAAATATTGAGCGAACCAGAGGGAAATTAAACATAACATCCAGCCATCACAACATCATTAAAGACTGTAATTTACCTGAAGACCGAGATTCAGTGGATCTCCGTTTGTCTGTTTTGATCAGGATTGAGGAATGATGATTAATCAAGATTGTACAAAATAAAATATATAATATTAATTTAACTAGTATATTTGGTAAAAATTAAAATAAAATTCAAAAATCCATATATATACCATGCTGTTTATTGCTAAGTTACTGAGTATACTATTGATAGAATTAAATTTCAAGAACATACTTATGAATTTCGAACATATTTATTGAAGACAAAACTTATGAAGTACATCAAAATAACACAAATCTTATAATAGATAAAAAATAATCACACTGAATGCACAATGTTTTGATTTTGTAGAGGGAAAATTCATCTAATTACTTTTGAATTAGTTTTTAAAAATTATACATCCTGATGTTTTGTTATAAACTACATGATGAAATAAAATTTATTTTACTGGTCTATTTGGAAAAAAAAAATGTTTTTAGATATGATTATTTAAGTTTGAAACAATAATTTCGGTTTTTAGTAGCATTTTTTTGTTTTTATATCAGAGCTTAAATAAATGATAAATTAAAGAAAATCGAATTGAAAGAAAAATCTAATATTATTTTGAAATTATATATTTTGTATTTATCTATAATTATATATGACTAACTAATCAATACCTTATTCAATAAGGTATTGAAAAACTTGAGACACATAATTCCTTTTACAATGGCAGAAAAAAATATTTGCACACCCAGTTTTTATAAACCTATCGGTCATAAGGGAAATAATAATCTACTGAACTTCACATATATATAACTAAAGCAATTCTATATGTTTATAATAATTAACTTTTTGAATTAATGGAGAAAAATAAAAAAAATAATGAAATCCTCTGGCAAAAAGTATTTGCACACTTTCTGTATTATCATTAATATCCTTTGTTTACTATTTATTAATTCTTACACCAGTATTATCTAATCTATCTAATGTTTTCCTACAATGCTAAAGCATTTAGATTTAAATTCTTTATTCACTGGTTAACTATCATGCCGAAAACAAGTGAATTGAGTTTGGGAACTTGCTAAAAAATTCTTTTGTTGTGGGGTCAACAAAAATCAAATCGTGAGATTGCAGATTTATTAAGTATACATTTTTCCACAGTCAGGTACGTCATAAAGAGATATGATGAACATGGGACAACAGATGGCAATGAGTCTTGACTTGGTTAAAAACTTAGTCCACTCCATGCCCAGACGTCTACAGGCAATTATTGGTGTCAATGGAATTTTTAGGAAATATTAAATTTATATTTATTCTCAAAATAATCGGAAGTATGCCTGAGAATTTCATTATTTTTAAAAAATTTCTCCATTAATCTAAAAAGTTAATTACTGTTCACATATAGAACTGTTTTAGTTTTAAATATACTTTTTATTAATGTGAAGCTCAGTGGATTATTATTTCCCTGATGACCAATAGTTTTATAAAAACTAGATGTGCAAATACTTTTTGCCACCACTGTATATATAAACATGTAAATATCAAACTTCACACTATAGTAATTTATTTGTTGTTTGTTATCTTATTAATTCCTTTAAGTTCAGAGGTCAAGATTTGTTGAATCAAAAATATATTCATCAACTTTGATAACATTTATTTTCTGATTACCAACTGTTAATTTGCAGAGCTGATTCTGTAGAGTTCTTTTGTAATTGATAGTAATCATTTGGTCAGATAACATGTTAAGAGAATCTTAAGGGATAGAATATCAAGAAAAAAAAATGATTTCCTTTAGAGATGGATTTATTGATAAGCGTTTATTTTGAAACTATGAGAATGACCAATAGCCAAGATTTGCAGTCTATATATATAGCTTATTAGGCTTGTGAAGTTCTGACACAAGCAAGAAGTTCATAATCAGGGTAATAGTTACTGTCTAGTCCAGCTACAAGCAAACCATTTTCCCTGATGATGACCCATATGCTTCGGTCAAAAGGTTTCAAGCCTAATCGTGTATATCCTGATTGTCATCCTCATTATTTTTTTTTTTTAGTTTATTAAATTTCATTGGAAATAAACCATACATTACGTTTATCTTATGATGTTTTTATAATATATTTATAAATATACCAAATTATAATATTTGGCAAATGTAACATAGATAAAATAAGATATATGAAAGATAGACATTTATTTTATTCCTAAACAAATATTAATATGAATTTGAGAATGACTGGTGGTCAGTACCTCGTAAAATTATTTATCTTATTTCCTTCTTGCAATTTTTAACTTACAGTCATAAATTCTAATAATATAATAAAATATAAAGCTAAAAGAACTTATCGGATTTTTAAAACATTCTATGTTCTCAATAAAATTTTAAAACTAACATCATCCTTGTTCTTCATTCACACTTAGCCTTGAAACATTTAAATATTAGAAAAATATATCCATTCTTATCACAACTGAGAAATTTGAAATTTACTCAGAGAAAATTATATAAACTATACAAGAAAAATATAAAAATTTGTACTTTAAACCCTCTCATTTATATTTTTTTTAACCCTTGCTATAATCACAGAGAATAAGTGATTATTTTTTTTCTTTTTAAGATAAATTTTACAAAGATACGTTATTCGAAATAACAAATTATTTTATTGATGCAACTAATATTAAACTAGATAAAATCAAACACAGACAGTAAACAGTAATTAATATTCACTGAAAGTTAGAAATACAAACTATATTTAATCAAAAGCAATGCTGAAATCAGTCTTAAAACTTCTTCTATCAATAGAGTACATATTATCTGCTGTACACTCATACACTCCAGCATCCATTTGTGTCGCAGGATCTATTTCTAACTTGGATTTCACTTTATCCTTGCCCATCCTCCATTCATGCACCTTAAAAGAATTATTTTAACTAAAAATACAAATAAATTAATGATTAAATAGGAAAACTATATAAAGCGTCCTCGGAAGGTAACACTTTAAAATAGTTGGATATTTTTTTAAATGATATTTATAACTAATTATTATAATTTAACATCATATTTGTATTTACAACGAAAGAGCAGTTATACATAATGTTATATAACATGTATAACTGCCTGTGTAAAAGTTTATAAATGTTCCAAGAATGACATATTACCTTGACTTAATACCAGATCATAAACATTTGTTACATTTTAGTTTAGTTTAACAAAGAAATGAATTTCAATTAAATGAGTTAATATTTTACTTCATTTATATTTATTGTTTGTTCCCAACATACTATATTATGTGAAACATTTACTGAAAAAGCATTCTGTAACATTATTGCTTGTTTAATTTTAAAGATTTGATTTTATTAAATTTAATATCAAATTGTGTTTGATAATTGAGTTTAATATGTATCTTTTTTATAGATTCAGGATTGCTATATCCGAAGTTGGTATAAAAATTAATAAATATGTAAGACTAAACTGGTGCTATATTATCTGATACTACAATGTAATTTAAAGTCTTTTATAAAATGTTTCCGTTTTGGAAATGTACTATTGTATGTAGGAACTACTGCACCTCTATAATTGGTAAATATGTATCTGTTTCATCGTACTATCTCTTCATTTTGATTTACTTTTGCTTAAATAAAGTATCAATGTTTTTTTTTTATTTTATCTTTTGGATTAACCATCTTATTTAAATCTCTAATTCTAACTCACCAGTTATTTGAGTTGTTTTAGTAGCATTTTTTTTTAGGTTTACTAAAATTATTAAATTATAAGAACAAGCTAGATGGCCACTACTAGTTCAAATAGTAATACAAAATAAACTTTATTTTTTTTTTATTTATTTATTAATGATATTTACAACTGTATTACAAGTTAAAATACATTCAGTAAATGTGTACAATAGAATATAATAACATGAAATCATTTGGTGAGAAACTACCCACTGGTAGCACTCTAAAAATGTATTTACAAAAGGAGATCTCGAGGCCATCTTCTTTTCAGACGCCTCGGAGGGTTGTCAGGTATCGAAAAGGAAGCAAGGTTAGAAACGAGAGGGTTAGGATGGTTCTGAAGTTTATTATGGAAGGAAAGGTATCTGGATTGGGCCAGGTCAGAAACATAAGGAACATTAAGGTCGTTATGGATGATTTTGTTTGTGACAAAGTAAGGAGCTGTGAGGATTTTACGAAGGATTTTGGATTGTAAGGATTGGATGCGAGAGGAATTCGATGGCTTAGTGGAGCCCCAGAGCTCAATTCCGTAAGTCCAAATAGGTCTTATTGTAGTCATGTATATGAGTCTTTTGTAATTGACTGGGAGCTTAGAGCGTTTGTCTAGTAAGTGCTGGAGTAGTCGGAAACGTCGAGCTGTTTCTTGTCGTTTCAGTCTGGTATGAGGATTCCAAGTTAGACGTCTGTCTAAGTGGAGTCCAAGGTATCGAATTTGTTCAACAGGGATAAGTGGGGTATTATTAAAGGATACTGTAGGACAAGAGGACATAGGTTTACGACGAAGGGTAAACGTGATTTGATGGGATTTATTGGAATTTATTTTGATCCTCCAGTTTTGAAACCATTCTTCAAGGTTTGTGATGTGTGATTGAAGGGTTTGGGATGCAATTGTTGGGTCGTTATTAATTGATAGGACACATGTATCATCGGCATACGTGGTAATAACAGTGTTAGGATGGGTTGGGATATCAGCTGTATAAACTGTGTAAAGGATAGGACCTAGGATACTACCTTGAGGAACACCAGCGGACTGGGAAAAAAGGGATGAATAGGCATTATTATGATTTACTTTGAAGGATCTATCAGTTAGATAGGAACGGATAATGAGGAAGTATGTAGGGTGTAGGAATTTACGGAGTTTGTAAAGCAGTCCTGGGTGCCAGACTCGATCAAAAGCCTGTTCTACATCGAGAAAGACTCCCGTGCAGTACATTCCGCGCTCCAATGCAGAGGAGACAACATCCACCACACGATGGCATTGCTGGATAGTGGAATGGGATCTGCGGAATCCAAATTGATGATCTGGGATAATGTGATTAGAATCTAGGATGGGGTGCAGGCGTTTTAGGATGAGCTTTTCCAGGATTTTGCCTAGGATGGGTAAAAGGGAGATAGGGCGATAAGAGGATGGGTTTTCTGGTGGCTTTTTGGGTTTATGTATCATTTTGATAATAGATAATTTCCAAGGGTTAGGAAAGTATGTGGTTCGCAGAACAGCATTATATATATACGTAAGGAATAGGATGGCTTTCCGAGGAAGCAGTTTTAGGATCTGGGATGTAATTAGGTCGTGTCCAGGAGCTTTTCGGGAAGGTAACCTTTGAATGATGTCGGATATTTCTGAAGGATGAAAGGCTTTAGGTGGAAGAGACATTTGGAGTGGGATATCCAGTTCTGCTTCAATACATTCAAGGTGATTTGGGTTAAGAATATCAGGGTGTGGATTAAAGGTTTTAAAGAGGTGATGAGCAAAGATTTGTGATTTTTCTTCATCGGATTTGGACCAGGTTTGAGCTTCAGTAAGAAGTGGATGATTACAGTCTTTAAATTTCAGGAGCCTTTTAGTGGTCGTCCATAGTGATTTGTCGGTAGGTGTAAGTTTTTCAGTAAAATTTAGTAAATTTTGAATTTTGTATTTTCTAATTTCAGATTTTAGTTTGTTAGTCAGTTGGGTATAATGAGTTTTATCTGTTGGATATCTGGTTCTATGCCACTTCGATCTTGCTCTGCGTTTTTCCTTCAATAAGATACGAATATGCTGTGGCAAGTCAGTCTTTTGTGAATTGTTAAACTTATTGATAAAAGTGTTATTATTTATACTGTCTGTTATTGATGCTGTCAGTTTTTCAATGGCACCATTAATGTCCTCTTTTGTCTTTAGCGGAATTTTTAAGTCTAGTTTGTTTTCCAAATCATCACGAAATTTGTCCCAGTTCACTCGTCCTGTAATCAATTTAGGAGGTGATGGTTTAGGAGCATAGCTCGAATGTAGTGAAAGTAGAACTGGACTATGGTCTGAAGAAAGGTCATCAAGGGATTTGATTATGGTTTGTGAGGAGGAGATCTGGGAAGTTATAAATATATCTAGGATATCGGGACGTTTTTTGAGGGATGTTGGCCAATAAGTAGGACTCATGGGCGAAAGGATTGAATAATTGTTGGAAGATGAAACACGTGATAGGATGTTACCGCGGGGGTTGGATGTTCGACAACCCCATCGTTGGTGTTTAGCATTGTAGTCTCCTCCAGCAATGAAGCGCGATCCGAGGGATTTGAATAAGGAATCAAGGAGGTTATAGGAGAGGGAATTACCAGGAGGACAGTATACAGCTGAGAATGTGAGATGGAAAGGGCGAGTTGAAAGGACTAAGGAAGTTGATTGAATGGCATCAGTTGGAGTGGAAGGAATAAGGGAATGGGGTAATGATTTATGTATAAGGATGCAAGAACCGGCGTGGGAGGTGTTGTCTGGGTGATCAGTTCTATAAGTGAAGTAGTCACGTAAGTAGAAATTTATTCGTTTAGTGAAGTGAGTTTCAGTCAATAGAGCAATGTCAATGTGCTTATTATGAAGAAATAAGTCAAGTTCGTCACGGTGGTTACTTAGTCCGTTAGCATTCCATAAAAGGATAGTTAAGGGCTTTGTGCTCATCATTGGAAATTGAATGGAATTTCAGTCAGGATTCTGGTGAGAAGAGTGATAAGTGGTTTTATAGTATTTTGCAGGTCCAATAGGAATGATGATAGAATGGAGGTTAGGTCGGATGGATGTTGATTGTGAATTGGATTCAGGATAGGTTCTTGTGGTGGATTAGGAGTGTTAGCTGAGGGCGGGATCCGTCGTTGTGCACGAGGTGGGTCTAGATTGGAAGGTACTTGTGCTGCACTTTTTTTCTGGGCGTTAGGATGGGACTGTTGAGGATGCTGCGGTGGTAATTTGACTCGTAAGGGTATATGATGAGGGAGAATTTGCTGACGTGGAGGATGAGATTGGGAATTGTGAGATTGAGGTTTGCATTGGGAGATTTGAGGCGCCTGAATTTGAGGCTGCTGCTTCTTCATGGTGATTGGTGTTTTTCTAAAGTCCTGCTGAGGTTGATCAATTTCTTTTGAAGTAGTCGCTAGCTGTGTTTTTTGAGTAGACGTTTTTGGCAATTCAGGAAAATTTGACAGATTATCAATTTCAGGTAGATGGGTGACACTTCTTGGTTCAGTTTTACGCTTTTCGAGGCAATGTTCTGAGCTCTCTGCTTATAAAAATGTTTATAAACTTTGCATCCTCTGTAGTTTGCTGGATGTTCTTCACCACAAAGGGCACATTTCACAGGCAGGTCTCGAGGTCTCTGACAAGTGTCAGATGCGTGGGGGCCGGCACATTTCACGCACCTGGCCTGGTGATGACAATAAGTCTTTGTATGCCCCAAGTCTTGGCACTTAGTGCATTGCACCATTATAGGCTTTTGTCTAGGCTCTTCAAATTTAATGGTGGAATATATAAGCCTCTTCACTTGGAAAATTTCGATGTGGATGGCAGGCCACAGAGCACACCCTAATTTGGAAAGCCTCAAGCAATCTCTGGTCCGAGCAGTTAAGCGCTTTCCTTAAGAAGTGCTGCGTGCTGCTATTGATGACTGGCCATGGAGATTAAATGCCTGTGTCAAGGCAAAAGGGGACATTTTGAGTAATTTCTTTTTGTTTTAGTCTCTATAGATATACATTTTATTTTCTAATAAATCTTTTGAAAAAAATATTTTTTCTGTTGAAATCTGTATATATTTCCTTCTAACAATATTTCTGACAAGGCCAGGTATATATATAGACGTTTTCTGCCATACACTGTTTTTTGTGTCAAATCAATTTATTAATTTGTATCCTTTCCAAGTTTAGTAAAATAAAGGTTCTTCATTTCAGAACTAATTCTCCAAGATTAAATCTTTACCCATGTAGAGTTATAAAGCTAAAACTTTTCTGAAGACCTAATGATTCTTACATTGCTAAAGCATGGCATAACTTACATAAAAATTTATTGTTTTTACTTTGTATTTTTTGCAGTATTTTTTCTTGTAATATTTCACCATTGTATATATTTTTTTATTTTTCTGTTATGAAAATGTCACTCTTGTCCGTTTCTGAAGTAACCAACTCAAAGCATTTCTGTAACCTAAGCCCAATTACTTTTTATTTCTTATACAACATAACTTTTATTTTTAAGAACTTGAACTAATAAAAGTTAAACTTTTACCTTAAACCATGAACTTAATCATTAAAAAAGTTGCTTAGAACTTTTATTTTTAAATACTTTTAAGCTTATGTTTCACAGAAACTGTTAAAATGGGACTTTATGAAGCATTCCTTTCACTAGGTACAATACTTTGGAACCATGCTGGGTCTTGATACTCGCATTCAAAAATACAAAACAAACTAATCCCCTCTTATACCATCAACTTTTAAAATCATCTGAGTTTTAGAATCTGATGACTTTTTGTAGTTTTAATAAAATTTTAATTAATTAAAATTCTCTTTTGTCTCATATCTATCTAGTATAAGTTCCTCAGTTATATATTAACACAAGTATCAAGTGCTATGCACTAGCGGATCCAGGATTTAATTTTGGGGGGACTTCAGCCCGAAAGAATTTTTTTCATATATATATATAATGATAATTAATTTGAAAAAAAATAAATAAATAAAGAAATGAACTACCTATATGAAATGGTGTTTAAGTGATTCTTGAAGTTCTATTAAATGTAATTACACGAACAATAATACTATAAGAAATATATTTTTTTCTATAAAACATGGTTATATTTTACCGTTTTGGAGGGGGGCTTCAGCCCGAAAGCCCCCCGTAAATCTGCCAGTGGGGCTATGTGCATACATCACACATATAAGTGTTTGAGGGGACGCGTGCCTCAAAATACCCAGAACTATACCTTTATAAATGGTTGTAGTTACAGGGTACTTAAGACCCCAAAACGACTGAGTCCATTAAGGTGTAGCAGCACTAATTGATATGGCATAAAACCTCTTTGGCTGTATAACTATTCATATTCTTGGAACTATATAATTTACACTAAAAAGGGTTAGGGTCACCCTACTTCTTAAATAGTCCAAGTGAGGTGTCACATTGAAATTTCTTCCAATCCTAACAGTAAGGTATGTCACGAACTCACTTGGACTTATTCTTGCCCCTTGGAAAATCATAGTAATAGGGTGAGCCATATCAGTCGTACCTCTCAAAGGGAATCTTTCTCTCGCACCATCTTTGTATCAGATTGGCACACCACTCCGCTTTTTCTTTCAACCTGGCTCTGCTGCTTGAGGACACCACGATGCCTAGATTGTCCACAAAAGCTGTGCCAGGAAATCGCTCTTCTTCGAGACCTCCCACCAGGCTCCCATAGAGCGGGGCCAAGGACAGAGCCCTGCGGACAGCCTCTCTCCATGATATCTTATATTTTGTAGAAGTTACATTTTATTCATAACTTTCTGCCCTGAAGATAACTTCTCATCAAAGTTTAAAAGTTTCTTGGAGTCTAGAATAAGCACACACAAAAAAAATAATAATAGGAGCACAAGGATGCCAGAATGGGCAACGCTCTAACACAATCGGCCTTCACGACCTCCAAAAAAAAATTTAACTGATACCAAGTTCCTTATTGTCCAAGGCTCTAGGATATATTGGAAACTAAAATAAAATTTTATGATATACAAAAAAAAAAAAATAGTTTATCCCTTTAATTTGATCTTAAGTGATCCTGGCAATATATCATCAATTTTAGTGCTTACCCAGCTCTTTTTGATTAACATTTCATCCAAATTGATGCATTAAGTTGCTTCTCTTACCCATTGTATTAAATAAAAAGAATATTTCCTGACTTATAAAAAAGTGTTGTTGGATTATAATACTTATATATTTACCAATAAATCCAAAAAATAAATGTGAGTTTTAATAGCATTTAAAATGCACAAAGTCAGGAAAATGTTTGGACAATTCATTAAAAAATAAACAGGTTGATTAAACAATCAATTATAGTTAAATGAAGAGAAGGGTGATTGGGGTGATCAGTCAGAAATAAAAAGGCAAAATAAATAATAATATTTATTTTAACATTAGCCGACTCTTCGACCTGAAGCTCAGGCCTCCATCAGGGCTGAACTTCAGGTCGAAACGTCGGCAAATGTTAAAATAAATATTATTATTTATTTTGCCTTTTTATTTCTGACTGATCATCCATCTCATCATTATTCATGTCAGTCAACCATCAATCCACAATTAATTATAGTTAAACTTAACAAATTAAATATTTAGTTTTGTTACTATAATAAATCAACTTAAAATACATTTAATAAAGAGATAAATTTAAATTTATATTTACATGTAAATACATATGAGAAAGCAACTCCACGCCATCCTTAAACCATGTGATATGAGGTCTGGGTGTTCCTCTTGCCACACAGATGAAAACTATTTTGTGACCCAATACATATTCATAATCAAAATGTGAAGCTTCTAAAATTTTTGCTCCCTGAAAATATTATAAAATAAGCCTACAGATAAGTTGTTAATGGTTTTATTATTCAAGAAGAAAGTTAACAGGGTGTTATTTAATTTAATTATTATGTTATTTTAAATTAATTTGTTATTATATATATATATAATAAACCATTATTCATTTCCCTTATTAGTAGTAGCAAGCATTAATTTTCTACTATAAATTGAAAATCATATTACTAACTCCCATACATTGTTATTATTGTAGTATTGATCTGATTCAGGATCCCGATATTTTCCAGTCACAGGAAGTCCTAATTGAGTTCTGCTCTTAGTTCTTCTACCACCTCTTGCACCACCTCTTCTTTGTCCAAAGGAGGAGGAAATCAAGAGCAAGAGGATCAAAACTACCACCTCCCTCTTCATGACCTAAATATTTTATTGTATAGTAAGAAAAGAAAACATAATTACATTATATTTAAAATATACTAATTCTCAATTATTCAAAATTAGTCATTTTATTCTTATCTCCAAAATCATAAGAGGAAAACTATGCACCAAAATAATAATAGTAAATTATTGAAGGTCATTGTGTCAGGAATGCTCTTTGCCATTCTCAAGCTGGAAATATTTTATTTTGTGGCGTAAATTGAATCTTCATGCTATTGTAAGAATATTTTAAACAGCTCATCTTTTCTGTCTATGACATTTTATCAAATAAACTAATGAATGATAAAAACTGTAGAAGTATATTATAGTAAATCAAACAAATTCAATGGAATATTTTGTAAAAAGAACACACTTATATAATTTGCATAAAAAATATAGAAAATTTTGAATTCTATGTGAGGAACAAAATAATTTTGATTATGGAGTGTTATTTTGAATTTACATTTTGGTAAAAGTGTTCTAAATTAAGTAAAGGCTTTAAAGAATTAAGTTATTGCGTTCAAGCGATGGAAAATATCAAATTAACATGGTTGCCAAGAGAGAAAGATTCAACAATGTGAAAAAAACTTAACCCCATTATCTCTAAATATAATAAATCTTTTCAGTTAGTGGAGTCTGACAAAGCTGATGTATTTACTGTAATAATGAAATTTCATTGGTATATTCAAATGCCAGAAAAGGTATTTTTTATTTTTACAAATAATTTAAGGATAAATATTTCACATAAACTAAACTAATACAGTAGTTTTACAGATTTTTAAAAAATATTTTTTATGCACTACTTTTCTTAAACCTACAGGTTTTTATTTTCTTTCTTTTATGAAGTGTTTTTTTGAATAATCTTTGTCACTCAAACTGTATTTGATGCCATACATTTAAAATTTATATCTAGAATGATCTATGATATCTAGGCACGAAATAATGATATATATTGAATAACCTTTATTAAATAATGAATGCCATATAAATCAATTGAAACTTCTAATAAGAGTCAGATATATTTAAGAAATTAATTGTTTTGTTGTATATTTCTGGTTGTTATGCGTGTAATTTGATTAAGATGAAGATTGACTTAGAAAAATGAAAGTGACATGTTTGATCCATATGAAAAATAGATGTCATTAGTTTTGAAAAAATAATTTCATATCATTTAAAGGTGATTGAATAACTTTTAAAAGTCTATGTTCATTAAGGATTTTTTTAAGACAATAATAACTGCTTAAAGATTCGGTATATTACCAAATTACTATTGGTAATTTTATAAATGATTTTTTTTTTTAATTTTCTCTTTTATTTTTTCAACTTTCTCAACTTCACTGTTTTCACCCAATTTACTATACGATCTCTAACTATATCCTTATATTATCTCTTATACATAAATATTAAAAAATACTATTCAATTTCCAAGTATTCAATTTCATCTTCGTTAATATGAATCATATTTAGTATGTATGCCAATTCTGGATTGGTAGCAGTATCACTGTTTCTTTCTTAAAAAAATTTATCATAATTCAATCAATTTAAAAAAAAAAGAAATAAAGAAATGCAGATATAGTATTAAAATAATGGTTATTGGCTTAGTCTTGGGTGTTTAAAATTAAAAATATATATATATATATATATAAATCCGTTAGAGAGATAACATTTTTTGTATAGATGAAGAGTATCTGATAATTTAACACTGCATTAAGGTAAAATAAAAAAATGGAAGAATATATCAAAAAGAAAAAAAAACAAAAAAACAGTCATGATGTTACACAATTTTAAAATGGAGAATGTAATATATTCAGGTTTTCTCTTAGGAAATTTATAAAATATTAAAATATGGTAGCGAAAAGATGGGGTTGGATCTTGTAGTACATTGGAGTATGTTGAAGGGTCATACATTATTCTCGTTAAATTTTATTTAATATTATCCATTTGTCATATTTTTTCAAACCTTTTTGGAAACAAAAATTTTGAACTTTAATATTAACAACCAGCATGATTACGTATTTCCTTAAAAATTTCATATTTACTACGAGTAAATTATTAGAGTAATATATTATAAGAAAATATTGTTTTACTTATTCATATGAATAAATTTGATTTTTAAGAGTTCAAAAGTCATTTAAATTTAAATATGTAGGAGGGCAAATAGTAAGAAAATATACCTTAGTTGGTTTGTGAATCCCTGTTGAGAAATTCATGTCCAATATTACCATAATAGAAACTAAAATAAGCTGTGAACGAAAGCACCCCCAATCATGCAAGTGAGCAAACAGGTTGTTTTGCCGACAAGGCCGAAGGGGAGCTCCTTCGCTCAGGGGAATCAGTGATAGGATAATTACCCCACCGTAGGTCACATTGGACCTGATTGGACTAATTCTCTTGCTGGGGGTGCCCTCCATGTGAGGGAGTGTACATCAATTGACCGTATCCTAGTCAAATCAGAGTTTATTTTAAGACTCATTTCAATTTATCTTCCCTAAATATAACTGTGAGGACTTATTTCAATGTAAGGAACTCGACAATTTATTGGAGATACTATTCTATTCAATTCCTCATTATGATATTTGTACTTCGATCTTAACAAAAAAAATATAATCTCAATTGTTTGGTAATATGATCTCATATATATTCTAAACCAGATATTTTATATTACATGAAACAATATTACTAGAAAGTATCAAACAGAAGAATAAATATTAAATGATGAGAACCATAAATATTAATTAATTTTCTTTTATATATTTTTTAAATTCCATTGACAAGAAGTTAATGAATTTGACTTATATTCCAAATAGATTATTCTGTTTCTACTACTCAAGTCATCTCCAGATGACAAGGAAGGTTTGTCTGGTAGTTAGAAAAATAAATAAATACTGGAAACAATACTATTTATAATATTCTGTTCTTTTCATGGATTATTATCCAATGGTTTTATGTTATAACTTTAAATCAAAACTTTTTATAAAGTAAGAAAGTTTGAGGTATTAAGTACAAAGTTTTAGAACTATATTTTAATAATTACAAATGTCATAATACAAATAAATGGTATTTATTGCACATTAACAAATAAAGTACGAAGCATAATTCGATAGGAGTTTAAAATATACAGTCATTTACTTTTTAATTTATAAAATAAAATATATTTCATTTATTCTTCAGATTCTTTTATAACAGATAAAATAATAAAAAGCTTAGATATTTTTTTCTTTTTATGATGCCAAAAAAATAACATAAAATAAATTAAACATATCTATTGTTTATATAAAAATATATAACTTTTTTTCATTAGTAGTTTAATGATTATTTTTTTTTAATATGTATAAATAACATAATCAGTTCTGAATCCACGACGGTCAATTGCATACTGGTTATCAGCCTGGCATTCATAATATCCAGCATCTTTTTGTGTAGTTGGATCTATTTCCATTTTTGACTTCATTGTATCGTTTCCAATAGGCCACTCATGGACCTGAAAACAGTAATACTTTTGTTATGTTATGTATTCTTTTCTTCCATATCATAGTCAATTAAGACATTTATAAGTATATGTAATGATCAATAGCCCTGTATGGTAGAGGTTACAAACAAATAAATAAATTATTATTACTAAAAAAAAATCATTTAGATAGCCTAAATGATAAATTGTTTTATTACTTGGAAATATTTGTGGGCATAGAGTTCAATTCCATCTTTGAACCAGGTTATTTGTGGTCTTGGATATCCCTGAGCCATACAGAAGAAAGTAATTTTTCTACCCAGCATGTAATCAAGTTCAAAATGTGATGCTTTCACTATGCGGGCACCCTTAAAGAAAAAAATATTTGTAGTAAATATTTTAAAAACAAATTAAAATGAAGAAAATTGTTTGAACTTACATCTTTGTGTTCATAATAACTTGCACTAGCTGGATTTCTGTGTCTGATCAATATTGGCATTCTCGAACCATACGTATTCCTTCGACCACCTCTTCCTTTGCCACCCATGCGACCGCCACCTCCTCCTCTTGCACTTTCCGTCACTATTGTTGAACTTATGATTATAAAAAGGAGTAGATATGCTTTCATGCTGAAACCATAAAAAAGAAACTATAAAATAATTATTGTTCAAATTTAATAATAAATGAATCAAAATAATTCATAAATCATATTGTAAACATATTCAATTGAAAAGATAAATTCAGAGCTTTAATCGATTGTTAATAAATGAACAAAGAAAGAGTAATGTACTTACATAATCTTTACAGTCAGATAAATATTATAAATCCAGAAGGTATTTACTTTGAAAGAGCTGTTTCTCTATCTATGTCAGTTAGTAGATAGATTGTTCCACCCGAGGCTTATTAGAGGATGTTTGTCAGTTAGCCAATCACTCACTATTGGCCAACTGATTCCTCCCCTTCTTAGTTAGGAGAATGTATTGGAAAATCATAAATCACTTTATACATTTTATTAATGAAAAAAAAACTTATAATTTATATGTTTAATAAAAATTACATTATAATATTACAAAATGTCAATAACAAAAATATTTTTTATGTATAATTTACAAATACTGTTTATATGGTAATGGCTTCATACAACCAATTTAACCTATTTCTAAAAGTTCTAAAACTTATTTTACAATTTTCTAAACTAAATTAAATATTTAGAACTAAGTTTAAATTTTAATTTATTGTTCAAACAAATAATACCTAATATTTTTTTTCAAATTTAATATTGAACAAATTTTTTTTTAAACATCTATAAATTTAAATACATTATTGAATTGTATGTTCAATCTTAGATCTAGCATTCTTCATATATGATAAATTCTATTATAGAATGAGTCTTATGTTATTTACAAACTTTGTTCAAATTACACTTATTTTTTTATAAAAAATGAATCTATTGAATTTCATTCATTTAAACTGTTCTAAAGGTAACCTTCCCCACTCTTCTCCGTTTTTTGCACTCTGATATTTCTTTAACTACCACATTGTATTCACAGTTTTTTTCCAGTCCTGTGATAACATATTGCGATCCCTGCAAATCAAAGTTCAATTGAAAATCTAAATATAATTAATTAATACAATATCTTAATGAAAGAAAACTTACTGTAATGATAACTTTTCTTTTTTTTCCACAAACCGATTCCCATGATATTTCGCATTTAGTTTTTTTTCTAGATTTCCATGAAATTTCAGCACTCAATCCTCCATTTTTCTGCAAAATGTTGTAATGGACAAGAATTTTTTGTTTTGCCCTTTGTTTTGAGCCAGTTTTGTGAGAATCTGAAAACAGTAATAAGAATAAAACTATTTACTCAACATATACAAAAAAAAAAAAAATATATATATATATATATATATATATCTATTGTTTATATATATATATATATATATATATATATATATATATATATATATATATATATATATATAAACAATGGTTAACAACTGTCAATTTCATAAAGCTTGTAACTTAAAATATTTTCTGAATTACATTAAACTTCCTTTCAGTCAAAAAACAAAACACAACATAACCAAATGGTTAGAATATAGTTTGTTACTCTAATTGAATCTAATCCCATAGTTTGGAACATTTGACTTTATCTTGAAATGTAACAGAATTTTTGGATAAACAGTCAGTGCTAACCATATTGTCCAAGAAAGCATTAAGATTGAACTCCAGACATTCCTTACTCTAATAATGCCTTCATTGATTATTTATTTTATTAATGAAGTTTTAAACAGAGATTTACAACTTTAATATATATTTTATATTAACTGATTGACTGTTATGGTACTTATCAGATTCCTATATAGAAAGCCATTTTAATTTAATCATATTATATTATTAAATATTAAGTACATTCTAAACATCAAAAATAAATTTGTTGTTTTTTCAACAAACAATTAAAAATAAAATTTGAAATTCATTACATTGTAAACATCAAAAATAAATTTCATCTTAGCAGCAAAAATATGCCACCCAACAAACTACGTGATAACTTTTTGGTGTCATCATAGACAAGAGTAATGATTGAGAGTATTTGATTGGTTGGCAGTAGCATGTTAGGTAATAAATAACTAGTGCCAGCTTTTAGGTTGTGCAACCCAGACACACACTCGGGGCACCAAATCAGATGTGCGCCTGCCACTTTTTGGGAATTGTAAACCATTAAAAAGGCCTAAAAGATAAATTAATTTCAGTTTAATAATAAAACAAATGAATTAAAGATATATTGAATGAAATAGAAATATTAATCAATATACAACAGCTGAACAGATTTATTTTAAAGTGATTTCTTGAGGAAGGGAGGTGGAAAATGGGTGCTCGAGATGTAATTTCTCAGGGGCACCATGTGTCAAAAAATGTCAAACAACTGTAGCACAAACCATCAAAATTTAATTACTAAGTGTAATACAATAGTAAATCATAATTAACCATTGGGTACTTACTGGATGTGTAGTTTGAAGTGTTTATGATTAAGGTTGCTCGCTTGCTTGAAATTTTAGCTTTATCATGTAAAACTTGGGCTTGTACATGAAATGTATACTGGGCATTTTGTTTTAAATTTTTTATTCTTACACAACTTTTTCCCTGCATATTAAAAAAAAAAATTTAAATAAAACATTAAAAATATATTCTCTGAAATGTATTTTATTTAATATTTACCAAATTATTTAATACTAAATGACATTTAATGTTATTCACATTCCAATCCTTCTGAACTTGCAACAGTCAAACATTTAAATAATGAATTTGTGGGCTAAATAACATTTTCTTTTGTTTTTATGTTATAAAAATTATAACATTGAAGGATTACTTTTTAAAATCCAAATCAATTTACAGAGCAATCAACAAACTTGATTTCTTCTACTTTTTGGAAATAATTTCTATTCTTTTTAAAATAGTTTCATTTAAGATAGTAAAATTATTTAAAGGAATAATTCTAACAATATTGGGATTTCTTAAAAATCCTAATAGTTAAAATCATAATCTGCTTCACTAATACCAATAAATTAATAATTATGCAATAAGTATATAAAATGTAGCATCAACAAATTTCTATTGTTCAAATGTGTTTTAATAAAAATAAAAATTAAAAAAAAACACTCAATGAGTAAGTTTTATCTACAAATTTGTTGTACCATTCCTGGCATAAATCTATCTTAAATACTTAATTTTAGTTTGATACAGATTTTCATTTTTTAACTAAGCTCTTAATATACACAGGTCATTTTGCGAGATTTGGTTCTTTGGTTTCAGGGAACATTAAAACATGTTCTGTTGAAAACTCAAATTTAAAATGTTTCCTGATCACAATACTTTCCCTTACTGCAGATATAATCTATACATAGATAAATGGTAGTAAAATAGTCTTATAAATAAAATAATTTTTCACTATTTTAAATTTTATTTATGACCACCACCCCGGAAAATCTCCCTTCTCAGTTTTAATTTTTACTACAGTTTATACTTGTCTCAAAATTTAAGCCTCGTCTATATTTGACTGCACTTATTTATATACATTTATTATATCAAGAAAAAAAAGATAACAATAATAAATTCATTTCTATTTAGAAAAATAGGTATGGATTATATTAATTAAAAAACTAATATATATATATATATATATATATATATATATATATATATATATATATATATATATATATATATATAATTTTAAACTCTTTAGGTTTAATATACTGACTTATTATTTTATATAAATAACTTCCCCTTTGAGAAGCAGCAACCTGATAAGTCTTATGGAAAGGAAAATGGCTTTAAGTGATATCATTTTCATGTCCCAAGAGGCTTTCAGCTCTTCTGACACTTCTTTTGTCTCCATTCTATATAAGAGCTAGCCGATCCCTTTACCCATCTCTGTCTCATCCAGACCAGCATGTAAGTTGCTGTCTTGCTAGTATCAATTTTTATAATACTGAATTTTAAATAAAATATTTTTATTCAACTTTGGTATGTTTGACATAACTAATCAATTGTAAAACTAATTATTGTAATTATCAATTTTGTTCATAATTGTAAATTTAATTCTAAATAACTCAATATTTAAATTCTTAGTTAGTTCTTAGCATATATAATTTTGGAATTTAATTTTGTTTGGGCCATATAAAATTAAATATTTTATAATAAATACTTCTGTGAAATTAAAAACAGTTGGGATTATTTGGTTTTACAAAATGTTTTTGAATCATTGAGGAATTATTCTGTTATATTATTAACATATCACAGATTAAAATTAAAAAATACCAACTAAAAAATCTCATTTAGTTTACCTCACCATTCATTCATGTCTTAAATAAAATTTATGAACAGATGAAAAGATTAAAATTTATGAACTAAAAATAAAAATCCTCATCTTGGGTAATGATAACCAAATAAATAGGTACTGGTCAATCCATATTTTTAATTTTAATATAGTTTTTAAAAGATAGCAAGTATGAATGTTATTGTATTATTATGAATTAATTTCAATATTATCAATAAATTAACATTTGTAAAATACAAATATAATTTATTTGAATATTTAACATTATATTTATTTCACAACAGGGTGTTAGGCGCCACCATACTTCAGTTATTTGCTCTATATGCTTTAACTAACCTTGGGAAAGCATGTATGGTTAACGAAGAGTGTGCAGGACGTCCAAAGGTTTTAGATCTTGGACGAGGCTTCTATCCACAATTTGTATTCACCTTAGAATGTGATTCTAAATGTTTACCATACATTTGTACTCCTCAAAAATACAAGTATGTTTGATAGAGTTAACATTATTCCTCAATTAAAATACAAATAAAAATAGGAATTAAAATTTTAGAATAATTCTAATTATCAATTACAGTGAGTCAAGTTTTGCTGATTAGTCTATATGGCATTTTGTCTGATATATAAAACCAAATCTTGCATTGATTAATATATATATATTTTTTAGCCTAACTAATAGTCGGTTTCTATATAGTTTATAACTTAACTATAATATTTATCTATGATCTTTTTTTTAAAAAATTCTTTATATCCACTGATAATAACATACTTTGTTATTAATTAGTTGTCACTATATTTAGAAGTTGTAATATTTTGAAATAGACAATAGTTTTCCACACAATAGAATATTTAACACATTCAAACAATTTTTTTCAACAAGTAGCACAGTCAAAGAAAATACAAAGTGAGACTTTTTAATACATTATTAAAGTACTAAAGTCTCGCTTTATGTCATCTTCCATGAATATTTTAAACCACTTCATAGGCAATGTGTTACGAGACGAAAACGTAGAGCACGTTATAATCATAATTTTACATTTTATTTTGATTTATTTTGTGCAAAATTATTAGAACCAAAGACGTTTTTCCAATAAATGTTTTCAATTGAAAATGCATGCAAAAGAAAAAGTATATGTATGACTAAAGTTTTAGCCTTAGTTTGAAACTTATGAAATATTAGAATATAACTGAAAAAAGAATTCAACATTGTCTATATGATTTCAAATAGATTGATCCTTGTATTAAATTTATAGATGTTACAGGTAAATGCTATATTTAAAATTACAACAGACCTCATTTTTATGTTAACATGAAATAAAACAATACATAAATATTAGTATCACGGATGTAATTGTGAGTGCATTGGGGTGAGGGTCTCTAGGTGTCCAGTTAGGAATGTTATGAGTTTGATTCCTCCCTGGGTCAGTTAGTATTTATTTCCTGATGTATCTGAAGAATGGATCTTGGCAGTTCCATTCTGGTCATTACGCAGCGGCAACCTTGAGGTAGCTGTCAGCGGTTGGCAAAAAGGACTACAAGCTCCATTTGCCTTACTAGTTCCCTTACCACTTCCATTACAAGTATATGTTTGTATTACAAGAATTTTACTTTTTAATCAGCTTAAAATTAAAATTAATAAATAAAAATATTGATTTTTCATTTTTAATGTTAGGTACTAGGGAACCTGCTATTTTTAAAACTTGCATTATTGATTTATTTATAAAGCGAACAAATACTTTCATGTTTGGTTATGGTTTTAAAGCTGTTTATCGATTATTTTTTTTTTATAAAAAAAAGTATTTCAAAACAACCTCTAAAGTAGTGTTCAGAGATTATGTAATAAAATTCTTTTAATTATTATTTTTTTATAAATTTGTTTTTTTCTCAGTATCAAAGTATTGCGGAGGAGGAGAATTGAAGATATCACAGTGGATGGAAGTCTACCAGAGTCACTTCGTGAATCATGGCACTTTGTTTACAAGACAGTAACAGTTGCATGTTTGTGTACTATTTATAATCAAGAGCAATAGACAATTTTTCTAGTCAATTTACTTATTTATATTAAGAATTGAGAAAAAAATATGCTTATTTCAAAATGAATAAAACTACTTCTTGCTAAATCAGTTATATATCAGCTTCCCTATTTTTTCCTTTTCAAACTATTTTTTTTTATTTATTCTTTAATTGGTTTAAAAAATTGAATAATTTATATGCTGAATGTATATATTAAGCTAATTATAATCAAATTATCTAAAATTACTGGAGAGTGCTTACTCAAGATCAGACAGAATTGTAAAGCCTCATAAAGGCAGGGACATAGTTCGGGTTATTGCTTTCCTAATGGGAAAAATTGAATAAATCAACATTTACTGTATTACTAAAATTCATAGGTGATTAGAGATAAAAAAAAAATAATGAAATGCATGTGAACTTGATAAAACAAAAAAAAAAAAAAAATACTGTTGTAATCAATATAAAAGTCAAAAATACTTAAATTTAATAATTTAAATTATTTTTAGAAAAAAAAAAAATGATTACTTACATGTGGAATTGTCTTCCGATGAACTTCTTTTGAACCTTTATTGAGAGGTGCTTTTTCATCAGCTATCCTTTGGGTCCACACAACAAGGTACCTCGAGATGTGTTGGTCAGATCGTGGCAATTGCCAGCTAAAGAGTCCAGATACACTTCCATTTTTTAAAACACCTTTAAAACTTAGGTTTTCTGGCATTTCTGGTGGCTTTGCCTCTACGCAATACAGAAATCTACTAATATCTCATCATTGAAAATATTCTAATCCTTAATTTTAGTAATAAATAAAATGTAGTCAATCATCATTCACTCTATTACATTTTATGTTTTATGTAAAATTTATCACGGATATTCAAAACTGGAGATGTATAAAATAGGAAAGTATTATACTTTATACACTTAAAATAAATAATTATTTTATAGGTTTACCTAGAAACTTATCATTCAATAAGAGATAAAAATGATGAAAAATTATACAAAAATAATTTTCACCACTTACCAAGATGAAGCGTGAATGGATTAGATGGGATAGAGAAGCCTTTAGAACCCAAATCATTGACAGCTGCTACTCGTGCCACATACTCTACTCCAGACTGGATAGAGATCTTCACTGGATGAGATAATCGTGGAGTCTTATGTGCTGTTTGCCAAGGACCAGACGCCTCTTTGGTTTCCACTATGAACATTGATTCTCCTGGGTGCACCCAATCAACCAACATAGTACTCAAGTCAAGACTTTTTGAAATTGTGACATTGGTTGGAATATTCGGCAACCCTATGGCATAGTATTAATAGCATGACAAAGGCTTGAATTAAAATCTAAAATATTTATTAGTTTTGTATAAGGTAGGTAACTGTGGTTATAAATCTAAATAGATAAGACGAAGCAGGCAGAAAGGAGAAAGTTTTAATTAACTCAAGAAATACATAACACGAGCATTTTATATTCTATTCTATTTTTCATTGCTAACCTTTCAATTAGATGCACCTACTATTTGTTTCATATTTACATTTTATGTGAATATACAATATATTTTAGCCTTAATGAAGAGTTTTTACATGGGACTTTAAATATAGGAGAGTTATGACATTCTTTATTATATCCCTCTTCCTTGATCCTAACCCAAACAATTTACCTACTGTAATATATATACCTGGTGTATTTTCCAGATTTACTGGCATTTGACAAGTTTTTCCACATTCATTCCTGCAGCAAAGATCCAAGGCAGGACAGTCCTTGTGAGAATCACATTCATGAATGCAGTTTTCATAAAATGGATTTGATTCATTTCCACATTGACCTGGTTTCTCAGGAGGATTGCTGTAACACTTTTCCTTGCACTCTTTTCCTTCCTTTGAAAAACAAAACAAAATAATGTATTATGATAAGTAATTATATGTTAAGAAATAAACTCATGAAGAGGAAGAAAGAAAACAAATGACTATTTTTATTTTTCATTTTAATGAAATTTACAACTCTATTACATGAAAAATATAACAAGTAAATGTAACAATGGTAATATGACATGTACAACATGAAGAGAAACTACCCATTGGTAGAACTCAAATTAAAGTTCAATATTAGAAGGTCCTGAAGCCATCTTCTTTTCAGACGCCTCAGAGGGGTATCAGGAATAGAAGAGGAAGCGACATTGGAAACAAGAGGGTTTGGATGGTTCAGAAGTTTATTATGGAAGGATAGTTATCTGGATTGGGCTAAATCGGAAACATATGGTACGTTAAGGTCATTATGGATGAATTTATTTGTGACAAAGTAAGGTGCATTGAGAATTTTACGAAGGATTTTGGATTGTAAGGATTGAATACAAGAGGAATTTGATGGTTTAGTAGAGTCCCAAAACTCGATTCTGCAAGTCCAAATAGGCCATATTATAGTCATATATTGTAACATCCCTCTTATATTTTACAAATAATAATATGATCTCATGGAAGCTCAATTTATACCATTGGGATCCTTCCAAATAAATAAGAGGTTACTGAATAATAAACAAAATTATAAGAGTATTGATATATTTATTTATCTTAGGTGTGGATTACTGACAATCAGATCAAAACAATCAGACAAACTAAATTAACTATACTAAACACTGATATAAAAATAAAGTCAATTATGAATTGGCAAGCTAACCTTTTTTCTATATACACTGTTTCTTCCTTTGTTGCACTAAATTTATTTGTCTTCAAATGCTTTCCAATGTTCTGCCAAACACAACTTCCAAAATGGTAATACTATTACTGGGTTTCACCCACTGGAGCCTGGTCTTTTCTCATATCCTCTCTTCACTCCATCCAAACATCAAATCTTGCTAAAACAAAAACCTTTGTCCCTCTCTTCTTTGGGATTTTCCTTCCTGGGAAACTACAGAGCAGCCATTTTCTTTTTCCTGCACTAGTAGAACTAGATTAGCTAGCCTTTTAATTGTTCAACATTACTTTATTAAACACTTTTTACTCACTTCCAATAAAAGTGTAAATTACAATATATAAGTCTTTTGTAAGTAATTGGAAGTTTAGAGCATTTGTCTAGTAAGTACTGGAGTAGTCGAAAACGTCGAGCGGTTTCTTGTCATTTTAGTCTGGTATAAGGATTCCATGTGAGTCATTTGTTCAAGTGGAGTCCTATGTATCCGATTTGTTCAACAGGGATAAGTGGGGTATTGTTAAAGGGTACAGTATATCAGAAAGTCATAGGTTTGCGACGAAGGGTAAAAGCAATTTTATGAGATTTATTGGAGTTTATTTTAATCCTCCAGTTTTAACACCATTCTTCAAGACATGTGGTTTGTGATTGGAGAGTTTGGGATGCAATTGATGGATCGCAGCTAACTGATAGGATACACGTGTCATCGGCATAAGTTAAACAAATGACTAAAAATAAAAATGGTATTTATGTTGACTATATTACAATGTCAATATTTTATTAAAATTTCATTATTGCTAGAAATGCTAAAAGCATGAAACACTTTTCATCCTTCATTCTTTATGCTATCATTCATTTGGAGTCTTCTTGGTGTTAGCACACCTAGATCATTCCAGACCTGGGTACAATAGCAGATCCAGGATTTAATTTTGGGGAGGCTTCAGCCCGAAAACTTTTTTTTTCATAAAAATGATGATAATTACTTTGGAAAAAAAGAAAGAAACTAAATATCTATATTAAATGGTGTTGAACTGATTCCTTAAGTCCTTTTAAATATAATTACATGAACAATAATACTTTAAGAGATAATTTTTTTAATATATATTTCCATAAAACATGGTTATATTTTACCATTTTGGGGGAAGGGCTTCACCCCGAAAGCCCCCTCCTCCTCCCTCTCTTCCCCCCCGTAGATCCGCCCGTGCCTGGGTGGATTTGTTTCTAAGTAAAATAATAGTAATAATAATAAAATTTGTAATTTTCTCATCTAATAAAAAAGTATTATTTTTTGACATTAAATTAATAATTGAATTAAAACTTTCAACAATCTTGATCCATTATAAAAAGATAGTTGAGTACTTTATTTTATGACAATAGTATACAATATCTTTAATTTATTATTTAACACCAAGTTAAAATCAAAATTTGTTGCATAACCCATTTGTATCAATATTGATTCTTTAGCTAATATTTCTTGATTATCTTATAGCTTTGGATTAAATTCAGTAAATTCCAGACAAGATGCCAGGCATATCTTCAACATCACTGAGTGAAGGAGTGTAATACCCATCTAGGATTGTAACACCATTCTGCATTGTATTCTGAGGTATAAACAGAAAAAGTTGTAATGAATAGATACAATTGTTGATTTATAATGAAATACTTTGATATTTTTTATATCTTACTTTTTATTAACAAACCATTCATTGCTAAATCTTTCATTTGACCCAATGTGAAGATTTTAGGCAATATTATTGTATACATATTTACATTTTATTACTTCACTCTTTCTCTCTCTATTTATATTCAGCAGAACTAGCATTGGGGATATTACCATCACTGTGGGCCAGACCCTCTATAGTGCACCACTCCCACATCTCTATAAATTGCATATCGTTTGTGTTCCATGCAACTATTTATTTAAAAAAAAAAGCCAATGTTCCCACATAAAAAAGTAAATGCACTGCCTCAAAATGGCGTCCAAAGATGGCGGACTGACAACTTTGACTTTAGTTAGTTTTTTTGTAACTTAGAATCAGAATTTGGCTTAATTTCGTCATAGTTGGTCTTTTATTAAAACAGGATAGTCAGAAAATAATAAAACATCAAAAATAATTGGCTTAGGCAATAAAAAACACCATTAAAGTCAATTTTTTTAACAAAAAACTTTCAGTTAAAAATCACACTTCGTTTGTAATTGAACAGCCAAGAATAACGCAAAACGTGAAGAAATAAAAAAACTGGATAATTGGATAGTTGATGGGTTGTCTAGTAAAACGCATGTATTACTAATAAAAAAATTAAGTTTATTTCCTTTATTTTGTTTGTATTATTCTCTCTGCACAAAGAAAGATGGCAAGGGCGAAGCTATAAGTTCTTCTAGGTATTCAGCAAAGTATTTTTGAATTCAATTTTATTATTATAATTATATCATTTTTACAATATAGCCTTCTTAGACGACATCCATATAGAATAAAGAAAGTTAAATTTTAAAAAATAAATAAATAAATTTAAAAAAAAATTGTTTAATTTTTTTGGACAATTAAATGATTGCATTAATATTTGTTCGTTAATACAATCAATATAATGAACCAAAAACGTTATTATAGCACTATAACTAAGCCATTTATGAGTACTGAGTGGTGTGCTAGATGTCTCTAGGCACCTACGCCAATACCGTTTTTCTGCCGCTTAAGTGCATTTTCTACGAAACTGCTTCAAATATTTTAAAACATAATCACTGTTTTAGAAAGAGAAATAAATTATCCAGATGTTTCATTTCAGCACGTTTTGCGTTAATGTTTGCCGTTTAATTACAATCGACGCTTGATTTCCAACTTGTATTTGTTTGTTTCGAAAATTTGTTATTTAAGAAAATTGACTTTACTGGTGTTTTTTATTGCCTAAGCCAATTATTTTTTAATATTTTTTCATGTTTTATTATTTTCTGACTATCTAGCTTTAATAAAAGACCAACTATGACGAAATTAAGCCAAGTACTGATTCTCAGTGACCAAAAAATTATAACTATAGTCAAAGTCGTTAGTCCGGCTTATGCCCAAATGGCGTCCAAACATTTTGGGGCAGCGTGTTAATTTTTTTTTTTTTTTTTTGTGGCAATACTGGCATTTTTTTTATTTTTTTAGACTGGGAGTCTAGCCTGTTCGGTCTTAGTGAACAGATCGTGTCTGTACTTCAATTAGTTTTATTCTTAACTTCCAAGTTTCAGTGAGTTTTAAATTACTAAAATATCTAGTTAGTATATTGAAGTATCAGTTTCTAAAATTTCGTCAAATTCGGACGATTGACTTCGAAGTTATTTGAAATCTTAACTTAGACGAGAAGGCAGCCATTGGAGGAGCCACCAGAGCTGATGCCGTGGAGGGGATTCCCATTGACAAGAACTCTGATGGTAAACAATTGCTAATACCAACTGCTGGTTTGCAAAGCTGCAGGATTACGACGACCCCCTGGTAAACAGTCTACATTCTGGTATATTAAGCAAACATAGTCTCATCCTTTGTTGTGACGGCCGGACCGGTTGGACTATTAATATATCATATCTTTGGTAGAATATTTAAATATACAATAGTAAAATTAAATAGAATTCTATTAAACACTGTTGTATTTCCCTTTCTCTCAAAAATATAAAAAGAAAAAAATAAGTTTTTACTATCATAATTTATTATTAATAGAACGTTTTAAAGTGGACATTTTTTTTTTTTTTTTTTTTTTTTTTTTTTTTTACTATTGCTGAACTGAATTTTTTCTTTTTTTAAAAGTATTTAATGATCCTATATTTTGTAATTTATTTTATATATTAGGTTTGATAATGTGATGTGGATAGGTTTGTATATTGTTTTTTTTTAGATTATAACTACTTAAATTTTTATCTTTTGATTTTTAACTGATTTAGGCAATTACTATTTTTATTGTTTTATTTATTTATTCTTTTAGATTCTAACGTTTTAACAGTTAATTGATTTTACATTTTAACTCATTTTAGGAAATTATTTTATAGATTTTAACCTTTTTAGATTTTAACCTTTTTAGACTTTGACTTTTTAACTTTTTTTTAGATTTTAACTTTTTAACTTTCTTAGATTTTAACTTTTTTAGATTTTAACTTTCACTTATTTTTAACTTGTACTTAAATTTTAACTTTAAACTTTTTACTGATTTTATATTGTAA